ACGGGTCCGCTCGGCTCGAGCTCGGGCTCGTCTTTTGATGAGCCCGAGCGGCTCGTGGATCGTTACAGTACGAGCCGAGCGGCCGAGCCGACGAGCCGCTCGGCTCGATTGCCATCACTAGAAGAAAACTTGACATGAACGGTACCGGCTCTATATATAAAATTGGATAATGCCACATTTACATTCTTTTTCTACGTCATGCTCGACATTACATTGTTGTCAAGTAATAATTGGTTTAAAAAAATTTTCTAAAAAAATAAAAAAAAATTGTCCAATGACATATTGACACGTGACTAAATGAACACCAAACATGATTGTATAAAATTATACCAAATATATCCAGAAAATTGTAATCTAAATGTAACTTCATGAATCACGATGGCTGTAGGTAGATCTGCTCCATCTCAATAAAGGAGGTTGTTCATTGTTAAATATTCAATGTAGTGATTAGATATAAAAATAGCAAAACGTAAGCCCATATCTCGTGCAGCTTTTTTTGCAAAACAAATCATTTAAGTGGATTTTTTTCAATTAAAAAATCTGAATCTAGAGCATAATACAAACATATTTTCTACAAATGGGGTTTTGCTATGTTTACACTTGAGTTGATACCTCGATATTCAATCCCGCTCGCAATAAGGAGCCCACAATTTTTTTATTAATTGTAGGCCTCCTCTATTGTGAGGGGGTGTGCATCGAGGTGTCAACCTCATGTACAAATATCAAAATTCTTTCTACAATAAATTATGCTTAGGGTACAATGTTCATTAGCAACATATCACGTGACATGTTGTCATTGAATACTGTCTAAAAAATTGTTGATTTTTTCAATCAATAGTTTTTTGACACATAAATATTGTCATTTCACATTGTAAAATAGAAGAATATAGTTTTTGCATAATTAGACTTTGTCAATGTAGCCACTGTTGTTGACTCTTCCATCTTTGACCGTTGCCACAGTTATCCACTTTTTGCCATTAAATAAACATCATGGATTCGACATGGTGGACCAAAAAAATCAATTTTTGTTTGCCTAAAGTAGCCCGACCAGACAGGCGCTTTATATTTCTGCCTTCAGATTATCTAAAATATTACACACGTGTTGATTATTCTTAAACGCAAATTATTTCATTTAAGTTCATATATTATATATTAAATTAGAGGTTGATTTTTATTGAGAGACGAAAAAACTTAAAATTTTGTTTGCAACTAGAACCGGGAATCGGACCCAAACCTCTGATTGTCGATTGTGAGACACCTAAATTTGAACTCCAACCCAACCCAACCCAACCCAACCGAATGGCCTACTTCGATTTACTTCTGGTGTAGTTCATGTGGTTCTAAACTCACTCTAGACATATTACAAGAACGAACACGTAATGGAGTTTCTTGAGGTGGTTCATCAGTAGAGTTTTATATCGTAATACTCAACTACGTGATCTGTATGCAGGTTAATTAATTGTATATATACCTTATCAACTTATCTTTTCAAATCAGAACTTCACCAAACATATTAACGTGGAAATTAGTGAGATACGCGGTTGTCTCAAAATCAGAATTATTTTCTAACAATTATGAAGGTCTATCTTTCCCATATTTTGTTCTTAATCTGGTGAGACTAATAAGCCTTCGTCTGAGTCCCATTTTTTTAAAAATTATTTTTCTTCAATCTCATTTTCAACCACACATTTTTCAATAAAATAATTTTTCACGTAAATCTTAAAAATCACTATTACAAAATTTATTTTCTCCAAAAAATAGGGTTCAAACAAGGCTGAGAGAAAGTTCGAATATGTATGAGAATAGGAGTGAAGGCATTTAAAGTGGATTTAGATTGTTGTTTTCATTGAAAACTTTCACTCATCTATAGTTTTTCCCATGAATTAGTGTCAATTTTTCATGAAAAAATTGTGAATTTTCATCAAAAGCCACCTAGAGATTGTTCAAAATTATATGGATCACAAAACATAGACTATATAAAATTTAGATATCTTTTGACTTGAATCTAAGTGCAAAGTCATGGAGGACAAAATAAATTTTTTTATACTGGGCTTATACATTGAAAAAAAAAAATCCATTTGAAAAAAAAAATTTGAGTCCTTTTGATTGTTTCATATAGACCTCCTCATTGAGATCCCTATTTAGGAATGTCGTTTTGACATCGATTTGATAAACATGCAAGTCATATATAAATGCTAATGCAAATAATATCTTGATATTATTCTGGCTACCGGTACAATCGTTAAACAAAATGTGACCCTTTCAGCCCATACTGCATCCGGCATAATTGTTAAACAAAATATAACATATACCACTGAACCACGTGAACTACATGGAAGATGAAAAGGTTACACAGTGGTTCATTATCGGAGATTCGTATGGTACCACTACGTGAACACATGCATGTTAATAATATGTACCATTGAGGGAGCCCCACCTACTGATTTTGACTTTCCTCTGACACAATCGTTGGTTTTGGTGTCCACCACACATATCTTTCCATTATTTCTCATTTTCATTTACACCACACATATCTTTCCAGATATGGCTGCATCAGCCTCTATAAAAGGAAACAGAAGGTTATTGATATGCAGAAACAAATTATAAAAGAATATAGAGAGAGAGAGAGTAAAGATGGGTGCAGATCAATTCTATGCCATGAATGGAGGAGATGGATACCAAAGCTATGCAAAGAATTCATCTTTCCAAGTATGTCGATCTTTAACTTTAAGACTAATGGGATGCTTGAATATGAACCAGCTATTGAAATGAATAGTATTTGTTTGTTAAAATTATTTCTGATTTTTATGTAGGGAGGAGCAACAGAGGCTGCAAATGAAATCATCAAAGAAGAAATTAGCAAGAAACTTGATTCAACTTCTACAGATATTATCCGCATTGCAGATTTTGGGTGCTCTACAGGACCTAATACGTTCCATGCAATGCAAATTATCGTTGAAACAATAAAGAAAAAAATTGAAACACAATTTGCAGTTTTTGATAAGATGCCTGAGTTTCAGGTTTTCTTTAATGATAGGGCTTCCAATGATTTCAATACTCTCTTTGTTTCACTTCGGTCGGAAAGACAGTACTATGCAGCCGGAGTTCCTGGTTCTTTTCACGGCCGTCTCTTCCCTAAGGCCTCCCTTCACTTTGCTTATTCATCTTGTACTCTCAACTGGCTTTCTGAGGTGCCCAAAGAGGTGGTGGATCCCTTGTCTCCTGCATGGAATGAAGGGAAAATTTTGTATTACGGAGATAAAAATGAGGTGATCAATGCTTATGCAGCTCAATATGCAAAGGATTTCAACTCATTCTTGAAAGCAAGGGCAGAAGAGTTGGTTTCTGGAGGGCTAATGGCACTTCTTATTGGTGTTGAGCCCAATCCTACTAAGAACGTCTCTAGTATCAGTTTGCCCTCATTCGAACTTTTGGGGTCTTGTCTCATGGACTTGGCTAAGAAGGTAAACATTGATCTTCATTTATTATAGAATTTACTCAATTTGACTAGCTCAAAGAATTCATTTCTTTACGGGTTATAAACATTGGTACTTATCAAACTATAGCGTTGTTTCATTTTGGTTATCAAACTTTTTAACCGTTCTATATACGTCACAAAATTATTTTTTTAGTAATGACTCCTACTCCTCCATTTTCAAAGTAACGGAATTAGTGACTTGTATAATAGAAATGACGATGTGGTTTAAAAAGTATGTTATAATGCATTGATCGTGTCATCCAAATGGGCGAAAATGACTTCAACGGAATGAGCATTTTGAAAGTATTATTCGGCCTTTTAAGTTACCTCATAAGTTTCGTCACACGAGTCAGCAATTTTATTACTTTTGAAACTTCGATGGAAGTAGACAGAGTGCTTAAACTCAAAACAAATTAAAATGAATTTCCAGGATTATTCTAGAATAAAAACAGTTAAATGACCAAAGTGAATAGTGCTACAAGTTTGACGATTAACAATGTTTTTAACTCATTTTTAAATCTTAAGCACGTAAAAATGTCGTTAATAGACAATAGATTTTGTTCTTTAGAAGTGTTCGTACAATAATACACTTAATCAATCATGTCATTGACATTATTTTTGTTGCAGGGACTACTTGATATAGCCAAAGTGGACTCATTCAACTTGCCTTCATATTTCCCTTATCTTAATGAATTGAAAGCCTTAATAGAAAGAAATCAAGATTTTAGTATTGAAAGAATGGAGATACTTAGTAATCCACCAAAGCGTCTCACTACTCCTGACGCCAAATCATTTGCCTTGTTCATGAGAGCATTGATTGAGGGACTTCTTCAGAATCATTTTGGAAGCGAAATCATGGATGAATTGTTCAAGAGATATGAAGAAAAAGTTGAAGAGTTTGAACTTCTGTTGAATCCTAATGAGAATTCTATGATAACGTTTGTCCTTCTCAAGTGCAACCGGATGACTTGATGACTCGATCTCGTAATTCGTACGAGATAGAGACGGTGGAGTGCTCTTTCAATTTTATTTCTTTTTCTTTCTAATGCATTTGTGTCGATCTTCTTTGCTATATCTTCTTCTATCTCACAGTCCTATTATCGAAGAAAAAAAATATTAGCAATAAGATATGTGTGCTTTGTTTAAATATGTAATAAACGTTTATTTATATATTTCAATCATTTCTTGGAGCCGTTAAGATAAAATCCCACATTTACACAAATATATAGCAAGATCAACATTTTGATAATATTCCTACATGGGCTACTATAATTGTATCTTATCTCAAACTTCGTCCTATTACGTTGAATATCAAAGGTAGCTCTCTTTGTATCACAACTTTTTTGTCCTAACATATACATCGTACACATAATACCATAAAGTAGTGGATCTCAAATGGTTTAAAGTAACAACCCATATAATTTTCTCATTATTATTTTTATTTATTCACGTGAAGAAGCGACCTAGTTGATGTCATATAGAATTTTATGACTCCTCGGAATTAGCAAAAAATAAATTATAATTTTTGAAACCTATTTTTCAGTAACCATCTTTGACTCGGTCATTTAAATTCATCACTAATAATTTTTTTAGTGAGTAATTGATATTTTTGAATAAGTATCTTCTTCAGCAGTTAACCTAGAAAAGATGTGTTAAACCAATTGCCTTGATCTTGATTTTGTATCTTGAGAATCTGTTTGGTGGGCGGTGATATTCCCATTTTTGGGAGCCACGATCCATGTCAACAAGTAAATCAGAAACCTTAGCGAGAACATCTGCATTAGGTGCAAGGCCATCCACATTCTTGAACCACATGGAGAGCATCACATTCCACCGCGGCAGTCAGAGCCCTGGTGTGAAAAGGAAAAAGAATTTTTGTTTGGCAATAAAAATGGAATATTGCAATAAGTTAAAAGAATTCATTTTCGTTAAGGAAAGGAAAGTGACTTGAAATGCAATTAGAAAGTGGATTTAGCGTACAATATTTATATAGTCACTTCTCTATTGGTCATTCGAACCACGTTGAAATTGTGTGTTTTCTTTTTGTCCCTCCAAAAACGCAATAATCTCAGCCACTCTATTAGCTTGGGCCGACAACAACAATCTCGTTCATCCCATATGATCTTGCCAACCCCAATCCATCCCGTCCCCAGCCGAACTGTTGCACTGGTATTTAACTTCAGCAACATATCCTCTGGTGCTTTCTACCTCCTTCCATCAGCCGAACTCACTGAGCCCTCTCAAACCCCAAGTTAACCATTGCCATCTGCCAATGCCGAAGCCTCCCTAGCCACACTACCTGACTCCACCGCATTCATTTCTACCACATGATCAATCCCGCCTTGTCCAACCCCAGATGCAGTCACCTGACTCAACTCTTTACCAACTCTGTGAAAACATCCTTTTTGTAAACAATAAACCATTTGATGATATTTTATAGTTGGTAGGAGAAATAAGTAAATTAGATTGAGAAGGTTTGATGGTTTATGTGAAGTATATTTTGTAGGATAAAAATAATATGGAGTAATTTTAAATTGGACAAAATAATTGAAGGAGGAAAATTTAATTTATTGAGAAATAGAATTTTATAATGGCAATGCTTTTAGACTTCCACACACAACAATTGAATTGACACCCCTCCTTATAGCATACAAAAGTCGGTGGCTTGCCTCTAGAAATTTCTTATTTTTTTCATTATTTTATCTTAGTTGGTCCTTGAGGAATTCTAGAACTTTATGATATTTTCATTATTTTATATTTTGATTTTGCTTGCTTCCTAAGAATCTCTAGTAAATTCTAGATAAGTCTTATAACACCTAGGGAGTGTTTGTTTTTTATTTGAGAATTGATTCTCAAATCAATTCTCATTTTCAACCACACATTCTTCAATAAAATAATTTTCCATCACATCAGTAATTTTCTCTTCTTTTTCAACCACACATTTTCCATCGTATCACTATTCAAAAATCAATTCTTCCCCCAAAAATTCCTACCAAACAAGCTCCTCAACTTTTATTGTTTCCCAAGTTAGTCTAGAAAATTCTGGAAATATGCAACAATGATAATACTCATCCGCATATTTCGGTAACTTCAATCATTTCTCGTAGTAACTCAAACTTTGCTCATGATAACGCCTTCGTAAATATATCTGCTAATTGTTCTTCAGTCTTGCAATGTTTGAGCTTTATCTCTTTGTTTGCTTCAACTTCCTTGATAAAATGATACTTGATGCCAATGTGTTTGGTTCTGCTGTGAAATACAAGATTCTTTGCCATTGCTATTGCAGACTCACTGTCGTAGTAAATTTCTGTAGCTTCATTTTTGGCTCTCACATATTTTCAAGTATGCGCTTTAGCCATATAGCTTGGCTCGTTGTCATTATTGCTACAATATACTCCGCTTCAGTTGATGATTGTGCAACCGTTGCCTGTTTATTTGGTGCCCAAAAGAATATTCTGGAACCTAGTGCGAATGCATAGCCTGATGTACTTTTTCATATCATCCACTGATCATGCCCAGTCACTATTAGTATTTTTAAGTAGTGTTGAGTCAAGAATAGACTGATACCATATTCTATAGTCTTTTGTTTCTTGGAGGTATCTTAGTATCGGATTTGCAGCTCCATGATGAACTTGACTTGGATTCTACATGAATCTTGAAAGTAGACTGGTTGCATACATAATGTATGGCCCCGTAGCTGTGTGATAGAGTAAACTTCCAATTAGGCTTCGAAATTGTGAACTATCTATTTTTGGAGTACCGTCTTTCTTTTTGAGTGATTTATTGCTATCTAGAGGTGTTGCTATAATCTTGCAACATTCCATCTTGAATTTATTTATAAGATTCTTGATATACTTCTTCTGAGCAATGAACATCCCATCTTCTGTTGAGTTATCTCGATTCCAAGAAAGTAGTACATCAATCACAAATCAGTCATCTTGAATGTTTTCATCATGTCTTTCTTGAATTTCTCGATCATTCTTTCATCGTTCCTTGTATAAATGAGATCATCAATATATAGAGAGATCATAGGTGTACTATTTGTACCTTGATTTTTAATGTATAAAGTTGGTTCACTTTGATTTCTCGTAAATCCTTGCTCAGTGAAATAGTTGTCTATTATGATGTACCACACCCGTGGAGCTTGCTTTAATCTGTATAGATCCTTCTTTAGTTTGAGAATTTTTATCTTCTTTACGTTGTATCACATACCCTTGAGGTTGTTCAATATAAATTTCTTCTTCAAGATAGTCATTAAGAAATGCTTATTTGAAGTCTAGCTGGTAAATCTTCCACTTCTTTTGTGCGACTAGTGCAATCAGCGCCCTCATATCATCACTGTAGTGGAGCAAATGTCTCATTGTAGTGGATGCCAAGTTGCTGTAAGTATCCTTTGGTAACTAGTCTTGCTTTATATTTTTGGATTGAGCCATCAGCGTTAAGTTTTCTCTTGTAGACCTACTTAACTCTTACGACTTCTTTATCTTGATGAAGATCTACAAGCTCCCAAGTGTCTTTTTCTCGATTATTTTTATTTCTTTGTCCATAACTTTTCTCCATTCTGGTTGTTTTGAAGTTACTTCATAGCTTCCAGGTTTAACGATCATCAAGTTGCAGCTTTGGTATATTTCTAATAATCTTCGTGTTTTTCTTGGCAATAATTTTGGTAAGTCAACTAGTTCTTTTATTGTTGCTTGATGTTTCTCTTTCTACTTGACCAAACTCCTAGTTGTAGGTGGCATCTTAGTCAAACTTAACGTCCCGACTTATAATTAGCTTCTTTGTTCTCAAGTTATAGACTCGATGGCCATTAGATTGAGTGCTATAACCTAGGAAGATTCATTTTTCTGTCTTCTCGTCGAGCTTACCTCTTTTCTCTTGTGGAATATGTGTGTAGCAGATGCAGCCGAAAACTCTAATATGCTTTGTCGATGGTTTTCGTCTGCTCTATGCTTCAACTGATGTTTTGTCTTGCACCCTTTAGTTGGACATCGATTTAATAAGTAGACTGCAGTGCTTATTGTTTCTGCCCAAAAGTTTTTGGAAGACCTCTCTCCATTAACATAGCTCTAGCTGTCTTCATTACTGTTCTATTCTCTCTTTCGACACACCATTTTGTTCAGGTGCGTATCCAACGGTGAGTTGATGTTTCATTCCTTCATCTTCACAAAACTTGCTGAATTTATTTAATGTGTATTCTTTACCTCTGTCGCTTATGATTGTCTTGATATTGCGACTATTTTGCTTTTCGACATAACTTTTGAATTTTTTGAAAATTTAAAAAACTTGGGATTTTTAGCTCAAAAAATATAACCATGTCATTCTAGTGTAATCATCTATAAAGAGAATGAAGTACATGTTTTGCTCATGTGATGGAGTACGCATTGGACCGTATACATCTGTATGTATCAGCTCCAACGGCTCTTTAGCTCTCCAAGATTTTTTGGACTGAAATGATTGACGGTGTTGTTTCCCGAGCAAACATCCTTCGCAAACTTCTTTAATCTCCTTTACAATTAGTAATTTCTCATTATGCTCTTTTACTAAAGGATTTTCAATCCAGGGAAATGGAAGTGTCCAAATCTCCTGTGCCACTGCCATGACTCGTCCACTTACGCTGTCATTGTTGCATTGTTTGCGTATCTCCATTGGATTGGGAAGCATCTGTTCTCCCTTTTTTGACTTTTGCAATTACAAAGAAATTATCTTTCATGTCATAGATTGTGCAAGAATCTCCTTAAAAATGTAAAGTATATCCATTTTTCCATCATTTGACCTACACTTAGTAGATTTTGATTTATTGTAGGGACTAAGAGAACTTCATTGATGTATCTCTTACCCTTTTTTGTATCAAAGGCAATATCGTCTTTACCTGTTGGCTCCATGTAATCTCCATTGACAATTTTTATTTTTGTATTTATTTTATTAAGACTGCAGAAAATACTTTCATCTTTCCTCATGTGATTACTGCA